ACAGCCAAATTTGCCGTTTATAAAATAAAATTTCAATTGGTGGGCGTGGGAGGGGCAAAGTTTTTTCCAAGTCGAATGTTTAACATTCTACTTTTTTATTGTCAGTCGCAGTATCCAAACCTTGTTTCATTTTTGCCCTGGCTTCTTGCCAATGTTTAATATGGGTATTATGTTCATTTACTAACATTACTTTTATCTCATTATCTTGAGTGCTATCTATTTTTGCCTTTTTGTCTTTTTTCAAACTATTAAATTTTAATTTAAACTCGATCATGAAGATACGTCTGTATACGATAAAGCTAACAGGATTATTAGTATCTTCTTTGTATTTATTATACATTAGTTTTAATGCCATTTCCGGGGGGGGGGGGGGAGGTGGGATTATTTTTTCATCCTGTTTTTGTTCTCTTTTGTCTGTCAATGTAGAGGATTTAAGTTTTTTCATCGTAGTATCAACACGCTTAGTAGAAACTCCGAAAGTATTAATAAATAAGTTTCGACATATCTGTATTTTATTTATCATGTATTTTCTGGATTATTTACGATTGGAAGTTGCCTCGCGATAACTTCGTTTTTTATTTCCTTCATGAACCAAAGCACCAATGTATTCATTGATTTGTTTAAGCATTGTAATCTCTCAACTCCCAATACTTATTAAATTGTTCTTCTCTAACATTTGTTGGTACTTTAACGTAGCAACTTATCTTACAAGAGCAATTAAAATCTTTGAATTTTTTTTCTTAACAGTTTTCCCTTTATAGTTATAATGAACATTTTTAAAATTTCTCTGGGGCTTATTTTCTTCTCTTATTAAACCAAGATATTTTCGTTTTCGTCCCTTCATTGGTCTACCTGTATTGACTGGAGTAGAGTTTATTACCTGATCTAGTACTTTTTTTTCTATTTCCGAAGTTACCTTACCTTCTTAATGATCTTCATTGTGTCGTGTATTACTTTGATATTCATCCTCTAATCTGAATTTTGGATCTACGTCGAAATCATAGCCATTATACTCAATATCTTGATCATCATTGTTTGAAGATTCCATCTAATTTAAAAATAAAAAAAGTCAGGTAAATGCTAATATAAATAGTCGTGACCAAACTAACCTCATTTTCTGCTTTTGAAACATTTAAAACCAAATTTAGTATATGCTGTCCTCTGGAGGATCTATAAATCATTGTTTAAGAAATGTTTTACTACCCAATAATTGTTAATAATTAATAATTTTCAATATTTTCACTACTTTATAACACAAACATGCAGTCTTAGTCTTATCGCGTGACAAACAAAAGTATTAGTCATTGAAGAAAGGAACCAAATCCTGAAGTATTTTATGCTATGTGATTCCCAAGTTTTGCAAAATGGAACCAACCCACTTGGATCTTTCTGCAGATTACTTCATTGAGTACCAAAGTAATGTGGGTTGGTTCACTACCTAATAGATGGCAGCATGCACTTGCTGTGGCTTGGTTCCATTCGGCATATAATTTTTAACTACTATTCAAAGCGGTACCATTAATAAAGCAAAAAAATATATTTTGTGGGTTGGTTCTTTTTTGCAGAAAGTCGTCCATATAGTCCTGAGAACATTGGAAGAAATAAACTACGACTTTGGTTAAAAGAAGTCCGTCAAATGATATAATAATGTTGGAATCGCACTTTGCTTAATACAAGATAGATCTATTGCGCAATGTGCCAGTCGGTTCCTAAACTTTAAAAAGTGAAAGATTATGCGTCATGTAAATAAAATTAAATTATCTCACATCCTAAATTAAAACTATTTTCAGCTAATCCGGTCTGCATTTATTATTTATCAATATGAATGCGTTGTCATTTAAAACAAAATGGCGTGTAAGCCAAAATGCCTGTGTTCTGTAAAATTATCTTCCAAAAAATAATTTTAATGTCAACTATAACATAATTACGTGTCCATAATTCAGTTTTAATGATTTTAAGAAGATCTGCCGGTTTATGATACACTAATGTAGTAACATAGATAGACGGCTATACGCCATTGGAGATATGCCGATTGATTTTATTGTTATTCTAATATATGCTGATATTTTAAGCATAGATATACATAAACAACAGGCTTGTATCAATAAATTGTTTATTTCCCATAGGGTGAAGTTTTAAAACCGATTTTATTACTGAAACAAAGCTTTTGTTCACAAATAGTAAAAAACAAAATTTCGACAAAGGGAGAAAAAATTTGTGCATACAAAGAATGTTTTTAATACACTTTTGAGATGACCAAGAATGGAACTGATAAGAAGTTGGATGAAGGACTTGTCAATAGTGCAAAAGTTCACATAAAAAAATTACAAGGATTTCGAGTCAATATTGTAGGCCTGAAAGTCCACGAGAGTATTTTGGTTGCGACAGATCCTCCGCTTTATAGGGATTACCTAAAAAAAGGAAGAGACAAACCTCCAAGGAATCAGCTTTTAGAAATTAAGAGCAGATTTTTCAATTATACATCCAAATTTTCTATAAACTAAAAAAGGTCAAAGGAGAAGTTTATCTAACTTACAATATTTTGGAAAAAACTTATCCAGGCAAATAAAAAGGAGAATGACAAGAAAAAAACTGACTTTACTATCGTTGCAGTCTACGACTTCCAATCTGTACTCTCTTGACCGCAGGAGGAGTCTTTATCTTTTTATTACATATCTAAGCTAGCCGTTTGTAACATTACGATTTCGGAACTGAAAAGTGACAAAAGTGTGCAATGCTGCATCTGGAATGAAATAGAAGGAAAAAGATGGGCTACAAAAATTTCAAGGTACCTATATGCTGAAATGTTTGCGATGCTTAAATTAAAGAGCTGCCATTGCGATTGACGTGATCCTTTATAGAGGCAGCTGTTGCGGGCAGCAAAAGACATCTACATGATGGCCATGTGAACTGAGTTGAAAGTCTCGTGAACCCCAAGCACTCATTTAATAACGTTAATCTATGAGCAAAATTATAAAATCAGACATTACTAAACCCTATTGTTCGTCTATTACTCGTTTTTTTATACCTTGTGTTGAACATATTGAATTGTATGAAATTAAAATAGGTAATGTTTTTAGGATTAATTTGTTTTCAAACATGCGTATTTTTAAGGTACTTGAGGTTTTGAATTATGGTTAAAAATATCCGGTTACAACTTTGGCCAACATAAAATAAATTATGCAAAAATTTCTGATTTAAGGTCATACCCAAAACGAGTAAGATGATTAAAGTAATCAAAGACACCTTTTACATCAAAACATCGTACGGACCATACGTTCGGGAGGAGGTGACGAAAAGAAACAAAATTGGAGCAAAAATACCGTGATAACTAATAAAAACAGAAAAATGGTGTCCTAAATTTAGTTACTACTGAGATAATACCAGCAATTTTATTTTAAATTCGGAAGTAATTTGTAAAAGCATGAAAAATATACACTGATCGAATGTTTTTTCTTCAGGTGGATTTTCATCTTCGACTTGAAGGTAACTGCATTTCTACCAAAAGATGCCCAAGTCAGTTTCATTCTCCTGTTGATTTTTGTAAATAGACAGATTTATGTAATAATTGTCTCAGGTATACATACTCGTCTACTGTGTAAAGTTTAGTGTTCATCTCGGGCGTCCAATAGCTGGTTGTACATGGTTTTTGATTTTGTCAAGTTCATTTTTAGGCCGCCAACTTTATTGCTAGCTGCATTTAGGTCGGTTAGAAGTTCTTGCAGTTCTGCAGAATTATTAGTAATCATAACGATGCTGCCTGCAAATATTAAATGGCTAAGGTATTCTCCATCAATGTATATTTCTTTGTTATGCCAGTTCATTTTACTGAATATATTTTCTAGAGTTGCAGTGAACAGCTTTGGTGATATTGCGCCTCCTTGTCAAACTCCTCTGGTAGTGGGGAATTCTGGAGTGATTTCATAAATTTTTACCTTAACTTTTGTTTGTATATATAATTTTGAACACAATTCAGATTTCTGCTTTATAATCTGAGCCTTCTAAAAATTGCAAGGCAAACAGACGTTGATGAAAGATGTTAAAAGAGACATGGAGAATCTAAAATTTGCATTCCACGACATGTCTTTTACAACTAAGCAGAAATCCTTAGCGAATTGTGCTTCTTGTACTCACACAGAGTAAATCCGAATAAAATGAGAAAAGGCAGCAAATATTGGATTTCACGCAAACAAATCCTATGTATCTCTTGATACGAATTTCGACCTAATAGGTCTCGTCAGAAGAGCTATTCATAGGGTTCTCAACGTGAAAAATCAATATTTTCTGCCTTTTAAGAAGCAACAATAACATGGCTTCAATACGGACGCAATAGCGACATCTAATTACAATAATCGTAAAATAGTTTCGAAACACAATTCAGATTTCTGCTTTATAATCTGAGCCTTCTAAAAATTGCAAGGCAAACAGACGTTGATAAAAGATGTTAAAAGAGACATGGGGAATCTAAAATTTGCATTCCACGACATGTCTTTTACAACTAAGCAGAAATCCTTAGCGAATTGTGCTTCTTGTACTCACACAGATTAAATCCGAATAAAATGAGAAAAGGTTTGTTTGAAATACGTATCAAGAAATACATAGGATTTGTTTGCGTGAAATCAAATATTTGCTGCCTTTTCTCATTTTATATGTACAGCTTGTCAATGTCTTGGTTGGTTAAAGCTTATTTTACTGCCGTGAGATATAAAGAATCGAAAGCCTTCTTTTCGGTATGATCCATGGTACTTGAATCCACTTGCTAAAGTCAGCTTGTTCTCTTGGCTGTGCAGCATCTTTATGAATATCTTGTATATGATTGGTAGTTGACTTATAGGTATGTATAATATATATATATATATATATATATATATATATATATATATATATATATATATATATATATATGTATGTGTGTGTGTGTGCAAAACATTTTGGGAAATATAAAACACAAAAAATTACCGGTTTTAGGGTAAAATTCAAGATTTACATTTTTCTATTACCTTAAATAGGAGTGCCCTTTCGCAATAAAAACCAATTCGAAGATATCCAATCGGTATCATATTCGTTCCAAATTTGAATTTTAAACTTTGTATATGTAATTTAAAAGTGTGAAACTTCTGGGGTATCTTGAGACTTTCATTGGGTCCGCACAGAATGGTGTCTACGAACTTGGACAAGATCCTTATTTTGTTAATTATGGATGTTTCGTCTTCGAATAATTTGTTGATATTATAAATATACTTTGGAAGAAAGGGATCGGGAGATAAGTCACCTAGTTTAAAAATAGAATAATGTAATTATTGATATTTTAGAAACCACGAAATTTTAAAATTTTACGTGTAATCACACAACTGTTTTTGTTTTCTTTTTAAATAGACAAAACCTCAGTTTCGTTGGAAAAATGTTTCAATAAGATATTTTGTGCACAGTTTTACACATTCTTTTATATACATTCTTCAGACATTCGAGAATAAGAATCAATATTTCACCTACGCAAAGTGTGTTCAGAATGTGTTTTGCACAACAAATATGTTTAAATAAATGGCAAAAACCAATTTTTTCCGAGTCTTTTTAGATTTTTATTTAATTTTGAACAAGGACAGGACAAAACCTGATATTTAGTACATATAAGGTGAGGCATTAGTGCACGGAAGTCCAATAACTTATTTGTTATACGAGATATGCATAAAATGTGTTTAGGTTAAAGTTGGAGCATAGATAGGACAATACTTTTTCAAATACGTAGGGCAGTATATACAGTTTAAAAGATAATTACGATGTGAGTTATTCGTGATCAGTACTAAACATTGACACTGACTAAATATTGATGATAAGGAACAAGAATGAGATAAAATTTTATTAGATAGGTCATGGAAATATTCAATCAAAAATAAATTTTCAAAAAAAATACATACAATTATTCGTTAAGAAACTCTTCCACTGAATAATAAGGTCTTTCAGATAGATAGGCTTTTGTCAATTTACGGAACTTAAAGAAAGAAGTTGTAGATTTAGTGACAAAGGGAGATAGTTGTATAATTTTTTTGTCGAATATAATATAGATTTCTTTACTAACTTAGTGGGTGGGATCGGTAAATACACATCAAAGCTTGAATTTCTAGTGGAGTGGAGATAACTAGGTCTTGCTGAAAAACATGTAGGTGTTTACGAATTAAGCAAACAGTTTCTAGAATATAGAGAGGGGGTTAAAATAGAGGGAAAGAGTTAAAATCCCGTGATTTTTAAAGTAGCTTTTGCAATGTGTTATTTTACTGAGGCCAAAAAGATACCGTATTGCTCTTTTTGTAATTTAAAAATAACATCAGATTGGGCAGCTGTACTAGAACCCCAAAAAGGAAGGCCATATCGAATATGAGACTCGAACAAAGAAAAGTATGTTATTTTGGAAGATGCTAAATTCATTTCCTTCGAAACAGATCTTATTGCATAGCAGGCTGAGGCTAGTTTCTTACTTAACAAATCGATATGAAGGGACCATTTAAGGTTGTTGTCTATAAAAATACCAAAAAATTTTACAGGATCAATTATACTGATCTGGCTGTTATTAAAAAGCAAGGGTTGAAGAAGAGTAAGAAAAAGTTTGCTTTATAGAATAATATTACTTATTTTTGTCATCTCAAGGAGGTAAATGAGGGTCTATACCACCTTCTGATATCCTCGGATGCTCTGTGGATTCTCTAGGCTAATAAGTTTAACTTGGAGTATTGTGCGAATTAATGGAATCACTGTGAATTTTTTTTTCATTTTTTCAATATTCACAGTTGGCAACACTACCTACACAGTTGACAGCTGACCAAGCATTGAAAACATAACCTTACTGTGTGTTGGTGTGTTTGAGTGTGTTTTAGGTCATTTCTTACCAAGCTTGTGTTGTTTTGGGGGTTTTTGTACTATTTTGTGTTGTTTTTGGTTTTATTCCAACATGGATATTACGCCTAGGAAGCGTGAAAAGATTGTCACGTTGAGTGAACACACTAGTATGTCACAAAGAGAGATTGCTAGAACGTGTGGAGTGAGTCAGGGGGTAGTAAGCAAAATTTTGAAGCGTAAACGAGAAACGGGATCAGTGGATGTGAAAAGGTTAGGAAAATGTGGAAGAAAGAGAAAAACAACACCAGCAGATGATAGATTTTTACTTCGAAAGAGCAAATTGGACCCAAGAAAATCAAGCCAAGACCTACAACAAGATCTAGCAGCATCAGCTATAGTGATTCATGACTCAACTGTTCGTAGAAGACTTTTGGAGAATGGTAGAAGGGCAATTCGTCCACAGAAAAAACAGCTTCTAACTGAACGAATGAAGAAACAAAGGCTACTGTGGGCCAAAAAATACTCTAATTGGACTGTAGGCGACTGGAAAAAAGTCCTATTTACAGATGAAACCCACTTTATAGTTCAGGGACAGCGGTCGAAATTCGTCAGGAAGTCTGACAATGAAAAGCTTACACCATCTCATATTGATCAAACCGTAAAACATCCAGTCAAGAAAATGTTTTGGGGATGTTTTTCATACATGGGGGTTGGATCTTTGGTGCCAATTGAAGGCATGATGAACAGCCAAAAATACAAATCCATGTTGGAAAAGTATTTGGACAAACAACTCCAAAAATGTCAACCCCAAGGAGGAGCGATTCTTCAACAGGACTCTGCTCCCTGTCACAAATCAAAGGAAATGATGGCATTTTTCAAAAATAAGAAGATTAATGTTTTAGATTGGCCCGGTAATTCGCCCGACCTCAACCCCATTGAAAATTTATGGGCCATTTGCAAAGCTAGACTGCGAAAAATCGACTGTACCACTAAAACAAAAATGATAGAAGCGGCCATTCAGGTTTGGTATCGAGATGAAAGGATATCTGACAACTGCCAGAAACTCATAGAATCTATGCCAAAACGGGTAAAAGCAGTAATTGCTGCCAAAGGGGGACATATTTCCTACTGAATGATGTAAGTTTACCTTTATAGTTTTGTCAAAATATAATTTTTTACTAAATAAACTGTTTTTTCATTAAAACAGCCTATGATTCCATTAATTCGCACAATACTGTAGCCTACAGTCTTTTTTTGATAATTTTTGTGAAAAGTATATGTGATAGCAAACTGATATGACGATAGATTTTTAGATCTTCTGTTTTTGTAAAGCCTTTTTTTCAAAAACATATTTTTTTCTAAATAAATTAACAATTTGTACCAACGCTACAATAATTAAGTGATTTGACGACTAACAAATTACTCCAGTCGTCAGAGACGAAAATGCCAAGGAACCTCTAAAAATCATAGGAACAATTTGATTTTTGCTGACAATCTGAATCTTGAGACTCTTGGAACCGGAAAAAATATGCAAGATAGTTTACCACTCCTAACCTCAGGCTTCCCCTAACTAGCTCCTAACCTTGAAATTGGGGTTGGGAGAGGGGTTAATGAAAAAATCGATTTACCAAGAATCTGCACGTATACAAAAATATATTTATTAGCAGTTTTTGTGAGGAATGAATTGTTCTCTCAGAAACAACGCTTGAAGCGAACGGTATCGTATCAACTCGACAATAAAAAAATTAAAGCTTTTTATCAGTCTCCTACAACAAAAATTAAAATGCTTTTTAAAGGTAAAGAGTGTAGCTTTCGTATATAATTTTGGTATTTTGTCGCAAATAAAGTCAGTTTTTATAAGGGTGTTTTTAAAAAACGCTGAATTTAAATTTTCACATTACAAACGATATACAACGTATAAAACTGCTTCTTTTCAAAGACATATTTTCCATTTCGAAACTACATACATAACTTTAACTACAAATTTCACCCAACGTTGTCTTTGTAGACGCGCTATCGTTTGTAGTGCTTAAGTTTAAAATCTGCGTTTTAGGCATATTTCAAATGCCTCATATTTGTTGCCATAACTTAAAATCAAAATTTCATGTTATCGGTTTTAAAGATTAGATTTTAACAATGAAAATTCTACTACGACCGTTTAAAGGAATGGATAAATATTATTTATCTCATGAGAATCGTAAAAAATTGCAAAAATCGCGCAGCATTTATTTATTGATGATTGGAAAATCCTACGTATTGGCCCACATACCCTATATAAATTCTTGATTTAATACTTTTACATTATTAAGAACGTATCGAGCAACTATATACAAATAGAAGAAAACATAGAAGTTATCTCGAATCATAGTCTCGTTATATTAACTATTAGTGAAAATATCATTGAAAAGCCTTACAACCCTATATTCTACTTCTTCAAATTCCACTCCTATTGGAGATTGGAAATCATTCTGGCAATTATAATTTTATTGGTTACTCGCCTGAATAGTTCAATTGAACTGCATCCAAACCACTCACGGAGATTGCGTAGCCACGAGATTTTACGTCTTCCTACGCTTCTTCTACCTTTGATTTTACCCTGCATTATATTCCTTAGTAGTTCGTACTTTTCACCTCTCATGATGTGCCCCAAGTATTCCAATTTCCTGATCTTTATGGAATTTAAAACTTCGCATTGTTTTCCTAGTTGTTCGAGAACTTGTTCGTTTGTTTTGCGATCCATCCATGATATTTTCAAAATGCGTCGGTAACACCACATTTCGAATGCTTCTAGGTTTTTAATGTTGGATTTTTTAAGTGTCCAAGCTTCAACTCCATACAAAAGGGTAGAGAAAATATAACATCGAAGCATTCTTATCCGGAGCGATATATTGATATCGCGATTACAAAAAAGTTTTCTCATTCTATTAAAAGTTGACCGCGCAATTTCAATGCGGCATCTTATTTCTTTTGTCTGATCAGTATCTTCTGTGATCCATGCTCCAAGGTATTTGTACGAAGATATTTGTTCAATTTCTGTATTATCTAGTACTAGCTTAACTTTGATGTTTTGTGCTTTTGTAAATACCATGAACTTGGTTTTCTTCAAATTGATTTTTAGTCCATAATCGTTGCAATATATATTTAGTTGTTCAGCAAGGTGTTGCAGTTCTTCTAGTGTTCCTGCCAAAAGGACGGTGTCGTCAGCATATCTTATGTTATTAAGTGGCTCACCGTTTATTATAAGGCCCTCACTGATCTCGGCAAGCGCTAATTCTGAGATGGCTTCACTGTATAAATTGAATAACAAGGGTAATAAAATACACCCTTGGCGGACCCCACGGCGAATCTGGATATCCTTGGTCAGTTCGTTTTCAACTTTCACTTTTGCTGTTTGATTCCAATAGAGGTTACAGATGATTCTAATGTCTCTACTGTCTATGT